GGAAGGAAGGAAGGAAGGACGGGGGAAGGAAAGAGGGAGGGAAGGGGGGAGGGAAGAATAGATGAATGGTTGGTGCTCCCAAGAGTGAAAAAAGCTTGGGCTGGCCAGGCTGACCAAGCAAGATCAGAAGCTCAGCGATGGTAACGCTCCTGAGACTGGCCTTGAGGGTGTGCCTGAGACTGTCCCCAAAGGGACCTGACCTGTGATCCCGAGATGGGACTGCCTCGTTCTTGTGGGTGGGTTGCTCCCCCCTGGGCTTCGGTGCCTGGAGTCGGAGCGGGAGGAGCTGCTTGCGCAGGTGGGGGGATGTGGCCGCACCCCTGGGTCTGGGTCTTAGTGAGGTGCCTGTTCTCTTCAGGGACCTTGGGGCTGTGTTGCTGTGTTCGGGTGTGGCGGAGTGTGATTTATTTTTTCTCTCCATGTCTTTGTTTCTGGGTGTTCTTGAAGGTTTGCTGCCACTTGTAGGAAGCCCCTCTCCATCCTGAGAGGCCCTTGCCAAACAAGAACAGAGGAACACCTTATCAGGAACTCATTTTAGACTTTGAGGAAACCTAAAGGTCAAAGAAGGTGGTCATAACCCTAATTCCCAACACATGCACACACATTTCCACCTCCCCATAGGCCGCGATGAGCAACAGGAAACCCCTCGGGGCCGACACGCGCCACTCCACTGTGGGCTTCACGGTCAACTCATCGCTGGTCCACCTTGGTTTAGCTGCCAGTCTTGGCCTAACGGCACGTCCCCTTCTGGTTCTCATTTGACTGGGAAGTCATTCTCGGGGGAGGTTCCTGCTTGGAAAGTGTCCTCTCTGTAGCTCTCTAGTTTCTTTTTTTCTCACCCAGCCCCTGGGTTGGTGCACAGCACATTGTGTCTGTGGTTTAGAAAAAGTTACTGGGAGCCCATCAAAAACTGGGCCCCAGGAGTCCCCCTCCCTGGGCAGCCCTCACTGGTGCCCACATCCACAAGGAGGCGGGGGGACATCCAGAGGCCATGCAATGACCAGATTGACCCAGGACCTGGTTCTGATTCTGAGTGCCCTCTTGGGCCTCCCTGGCAGGCTTATGGCAGTGCCTCCCTTTGAGGAGAACTTGGAAACATTTTTGGAGGTGCAAATGACTGGCCCCATGCAGCACTGCAGCTGTGTCCACTCCACCCTCCCCTGCTTCGCTGCCTGGTCTCTGCCAACAGAATGGGACTCAGGAACACTTGGGCAGACACTTCTGATGGCCAGGGCCCTCGTGGGACAATGGCAGGGCCCAGGGCCCCTCCCCAGAACTCCTTGGCAGATTATTTCCATCTCAGTCACCAGAGGGGGATTGAAAAGGGTTGGGGGAGCCACCTTTATACTTTGGAATCAGGTAGATATCAGCCCAAGCAACAGGGAGGCCCAAAGGGGCACCCCAGTTCTGGCCATGGTCCCACTGGAAGACTAGAAGCTGGGTGCACATTCCAAAAATATCTGTCTCCCTCCAAAGGGTGCAATCACCAGGGCAGGCCTGGGATGGCCACCTTGGTGCTACCTAGGAAACGGTCTTTAGAGGTACCCTGAAAATATTTCTAAGTCTCTCTCTGGCATGGAAAGGCCTGGGCAGGCAAGGGAGGGATCCTGGATGGGTCCTGGATGGGGACCCTACCCCAAAAAGTTTTTAAATCCCTCTCAAAGGGCAGTACAGGCCCAGTTAGTAAGAAAGGCCTAGAGAGGGCACTCTGGGCTGGCCACAGTCCTGCATGAGTCCTGGTCATTGGCTATAGCTCCCAAAATCATTTTCAATTTTCCCTCCAGAGGTAGGCACCACCTTAAGCTGGCCATGGATGAAAGGAAGGTATTGCACCTCCCAAAAAATTGTTGTAATTTCCCTCTGGAAGCCAGGATGGATTTGGCCAGGCATGTAGGTCTGTGGTGGGCATCCCCAGACAGGCACAGTCCTGTGTGTGGCACATTCAACAGAGACACCATGTCTTAAATATTTCCAAGTCCCTAAGAGAAGGGCATTGGACAGGCTGAACGAGCACTGTGGGAATGGAGCCTTTGGCTAGGCTGCAGTCGTGCATGGGGCCTGGTCTTGGCATACACGTTTGGCAGAACATTTATCCAAGGGCCATTCAGGAGGGCGTCACTTGCCCAGGCCAGCAAGGGACAGATGGCAGTGTGCCCAGCCTGTTTGTTGTCCTGTCTTCATATGTGCTTCACAAAAATGTTTCCATCTCCCCTGAGGAGGGGGTGACAAGAGAGGTCCAACCTTAGAGGCCTACAGAGGGTGTCTGTAGCCCAGTGATGTTTTGAATGGGGCTCACTCATCAGAGGCATCTCTGGAAAATGTTTTCAACTCTCCTTCCAGAAAGGGGACACTCTGGCCCAGGCCAGCCAGGGAGGCCCAGGAGAGGGACTCAGTGCCTAGTGGGTCTGAGTCATTGGCAGCACTCTGCAGAGAGTTCTCTAAGTCTCCCTCCAGAGGCCAAGACCGACCAGCTGGAGGAGGGAGTGGAGGAAATATATGTAAATGTGTGTGCATACTTTGATTTTGATTTTATTATTTAATTATTTATTTTTATTTATTTTAATTTATCTTTATTGTTGGACATTTTACAGATGTTCCCTTTTTTCCCCATTAACCACTTCCACCCGCACCTGCTCCGCACCCTGGGCCTTCACCACACTATTGTCTGTGTCCATGGGTTGTGCTTATATGCGTATAGATTCTTGGTTAATCTCCGCCCCCCCCCTCCCCCGGCATTCCCTCTGAGATTCATCAGTCTGTTCCATGCTTCTATGTCACTGAATCTATTTGGTTCATCATTTTATTATGTTCTTTAGATTCCACAAATAAGTGAGATCATGCAATATCCATCAGTAGATGAGTGGATAAAAAGCTGTGGGACATTTACACCATGGAATACTATGCAGCTGTAAAGAAGAAGGATCTCGTACCCCTTGGGACAGCATGGAGGGACCTGGAGAATGTTATGCTAAGTGAAATAAGCCAGGCAGAGAAAGACAAATATCACATACTTTGATTTAAAAAAAAATTATTTATTGATTTTGAGAGAGAAAGGGGGGGCACAGAAACATGAGTTTGTTGTTCCACTTACTTGTGCTTTCATTGTTTGATTGTTTTTTTTACCCTAACCCGAGGATATTTTTTTCATTGCTTTTTCAGAGTGTAAGGGGGAAAGAGAGAAACATGGATGTGAGAGAGAGACACCGATTGGTTGCCTCCTGCATGCGCCCTGACTGGGGCCAACATCAAGCTTGCAACTGAGGTATGTGCCCTTGGCCAGAATCGAACCTTGGACCCTTCAGCCTATGGGCCGATGCTCTAACCACTGAGCAAAACTGGCAAGGGCTTTTTTTCTTTTTTAATCTTTACCCCAGGACAAGCTTCCATTGATTTTAGAGAGAGAGGAAAGGAGAGGGAGGGATGGAGGGAGAGAGAGAAACATCGATTGGCTGCCTCCTATATGCACCCAGACCTGGGATCGAACCCAAAACCTCGGTATGTGCCCTGACTGGAATTAAGCTTGTGACCTTTCAATATTTGAGATGATGCTTATGGGACTGAGCCTGCGACACTGCATATCAGGATGACACTCTAACCAAATGAGCTACGGGGCCAGGGCCATACTCTGATTTTTGAAGATGTACAATAAGCAATTAGATTATAAATTTGGGGTGCTAAGAAAAATGTGAGCTGCATACACAGATTTGAGAGTTATAAATATGCAGCTGAAGTTGAAACTGGAGAGTATAAATTCTCTTCCATAGGATCGTTTCTACTGCTATGATTCTCTCCTTTTTATGGGATTTGTGCAATCGTGTGCAGCCTGTGCTTTCCATAGTTGCTGTGGTCTGAATGTCTGTTTCTCCAAAATTCATATGTTGAAATCCTAATGCCCAGTGTGCTGGTGTGAGAAGGTGGGGCGCTCGGGAGGTGCTCAGGTCATCGGGTGGAGCCCCACGAATGGGATCAGTGCCCTTACGCAGGAGGCCGCGCGGGCTCCCGCACCCGCTCCTCCAGGGGGGCACCCCAGCAGCCTGCGCGCAGACCGAGGGCCTCTCGCCGCCTAGACGTGCGGGTCCTGAAGCCCGGCCCAGATCCACGAGCGTGAACCTGCTGTTCACGAGCCACCCGCCTGCGGTGTTTCCTTGTAGCGGCCCAAGGGAGCTGAGCGCACTGGCTGTGAAACACACTCTTAACTTCCATGGCTGAAAGGTGGTTTTTTATTGACTCTGGAGGGAGGAAGGGAGCGGGCGAGAGAAACGTGGGTCGGCTGCCCGCGCGCGGCGG